GAAAACCTCAGCACCCAAACTGGTGTTCCTGCCTCATGACCAGGGACCATGCGGTTTGGGCCACAACTTTTCATTCCCTCCAAGACAGACTCCAGAGGGACTTTTGTGTTTGTTTTGTGAGCTGTAAGTGAAACACAGGGCCTCGGGTATGGTATGGTATGCTCTCAGTGAACTCTACCCAGCTCAGAAACTGGTTTTGTATTGGAAGTCAGCACTCCCTGTATGTCAGACATAGGCATGTGCTTTTTATACATTTATTTCTGTCCAATCCCTGATGGCTATCTAAGTATTCCCTACCAGTTCTGAGGTGAGCCAGTAACTGATTGGAGGCTGCAGTCCTAGAACATGGACAGCTGCTCCTACAGCCCAGGCACAGCAGACCCCCCATGAGAGCATTTCCATCTACTGTGTAGATAAATGCATGAATTTATATTTTCTCTCTTTCTCTCCTCTATCTTGTGTCTTGTGTGTGGTGGGGGTGATATATGCATGCATGTAGAAGCCAAAAGTGTCTTCCTAAATCACTTTCTGTTTTCTTCTTTCTTTCTTTCTTTCTTTCTTTCTTTTTTTTTTTTTTGAGACTGAATCTCAGGCTGGTGAATGTGCACTGATTGAAGGTGCTTGCCCACAAGACTGAGGATATGAATTCAATCCCTGAGACTCACATGGTAGAAAGAACTCACACAGCTGTCCTCTGATCTCCAAATGCATGCCTTGACACCCAAGAAAATAATAAACTAAGAGGTAGATGACACATAAATGTGCAATTTAAAAGAGAGACAGAGTTTCTCACTAACCCTGGACACATATATTCAATTAGACTAACTAGGAAGCCTCAGGGACCCCCTTGTCTCCACTTCCCCAGTATTGGGATCACAGGTTTGCTCTGATACATCTGGGTTTTTATGTGATGCTCGGAACCCAAACTCAAGTTTTCATGATCTTACTGACTGGGCCATCTCCCAGTATCCTCTGTCAATTCAAACAGTCTCTATTTGAATCTCATTTTATAGTGCACATTTATGGATGTGCATTACCTTGCTATAGCATAGATATGAAGGTCAGAGGACAACTCGCAGACATCAGTTCTGTCTTCATACCATGTGTGGGCCCTTGGGGATACAAGCGGGCTGTCAGCTTTGGCAGCAGGCACCTTTGCCCACTGAGCTATCTTAACAGCTCTAGTCTATTATCCTTTTCTTTCCTTCCACACCAGGGGTGGAACTGAGTGCCTTGGACATGCTACACAAGCACTCTAACAGCCAAACGAATCTAGCAGCTACAACAGATATCCTTTCATTGAGCAATTATTTCTTTTCCCATGTTCTGATTGATGCAGGTGGCCTCCAAATACTTTTAAGCCCTTGTTGAAAAAGCTATAGAGACAGCAAAAGTGAACACAAGAAGGAAGAGACAAAGGGAAGCGAAGCAGGCAGTCAACTCCGCAATGATACTCATTCCTTTATTGTCAGCTGTATTAATCTCAACAGGGCTGAGGCCTGCAGGCTTCTGGCAGCACCAAACTAGGGTGCATTTCCACTTAACAGGAAGGCCTCCATCCTAAACCAAGGGGACAGAGGTTAATGTTTCATATATATCTATATATATTTATATATTTATATATTACATATGTCCCAGATAGTCATATGTATAGAGTGACAAGAATGAGCCACTGTGTAACTTTAATTAAAGACCATAGCAACAGACATGGAATCTTGGTCCTAATTAAGGCCCTTACTTTGTCAATCAAATGTCTGATACATTAAAAAAAAAAAAAAAAAAAAAACCAAAAAAAAAAAAAAGGAGAGAGAGACAGACTGAAATCCAGCCACCTCTGGTGGCTCTCTCTGTCCCTAGTGTGTCTTACATTGAGTGTAGCGCCCCCCTGCACAGGTAAACACACACAAACACACATACACAATACCATAGGCAGGGGCTCTTCCTCTGACCACACCCTGGGCCTGGCCCTCAGGCTGGGGTGCTGAAGTGGGGTATATTGTGCTATAAAACTGTGAGGGACAAGTGACCCAGACAATGTGGATTCGGTGTATCCGAGTGATGAATGTGGTAACACATGCAGCTTCATGTACAAATGACCACGTGGTTGGGGGAGGTCCCTCAATGCCCAGGTCACATGGAGAGATTCCTACACACAGCTCCTGCCCCACACACAGCCTGATCTGAACCCTCAGTGTTAAATAATCACAGGGCTCTGATGAAAAACTAAGAGCTCTTTGAAGGACAGACAACCTAGAGACTCAAACTTCTAGTCTAATAGAACAGCAGGAAACACAGTAGCGAGCAGAGTTGAAGCAAGTGACCCTCAGAGGAGAATGTGAATGTTACAGAATGGCCTATTTCCCAGACACAAGAACTGCCCACTGCCCTTTGCCACACACAGAACTTCTGGCAGACCTATCAGCTTCGTGCCTTACATTAGGGAATAGGACTCTCAACATTAGGACACCTGAAACCCTAACTCCCTATTGGCTTGCATCATTGAAATGACTCCTTACCACTCACCAAAATATACATCTTGAAAGTAAATCAACTTATTTGGCAGTATTAATATTAAGAGTGTTAATATTTAAGTAATATTAATAGCATTAAGAGAATTTCTTAATTTTTCAAATTAAAAACTAAGTGGTGAGCTGTTAAATGTTGACAGCAGAAATTACAATTCTTAACACAAGAAATTATGTACTCATCAATAGCTCCAAGGATTGAAAAAGATTAGACATAGGGCTAGTGATGGTGATACGTGCCTGTAATCCCAGCACTCTGGAGGCAGAAAAAGGAAAATGGCTGCAAGTTTCATGCCAGCCTGGTCTACATGGTGAATTCCAGACCAGCCAGGGCTACATAGAGAAACCCTGTCTCAAAAGGAAACAAAGCAAAACAAAATAACAGAAATAAAGGATCGTGGATGTTTCCTAGAGACATAACAGGAAAGGAAGTAGGGAAGGAATCCAAGTTTGTTGTAGGATAAATAGAACTGGATGATTTAAACTTAAATTTAAATTTTTAAATTTATTATCTATTATTTTATTTTGCTACAGAGCCAAGGAAGATCTTGAACTTCTGATCTGCATACCTCCTCCATCTTCCAGGTGCTGGGATTAAAGGTATGTGTGTACCACCATGCTCAGTTTAAAGTCAAATGTAAGAAAATTATTTAATCTTTAGTTATGTGTATCTCTGTGTCTATTGGTGGGTATGTGCATGTGTGTATAGGCCACTACAGAGGCCAGAAGAGAGAGTCAGACTCCTTGGAGGTGCCTTATACAAATGTTGGGAACTCTACTTGGGTCCCTCTGGAAGAGCAGCAAATGCTGTCAGTCATGGAACCATCTCTCCAGCTTTGAATATTATTTTTATAAAATAAGATTTCCTTACATAGAATGGGCTGTCCTCATTGACAATTCTTCTACCTCAACCTGAGTGAGTGACTATAAGCAATTTTGTGGGGTTGCAAATATACGAAAACCTTTTAAAAATAAAAACTGGGTATCATAGCTCACACCTATAATCTTAGCATCTGGGAAGCGAGGCAGGAGTGCTTCAAATTTGAGGCAAGGGTGGGGCACATAGCAAGTAGATACTAGCAGAAGGCTAGGGCTACACCAAAGGCCCTATCTAGACAGGTGGGGGGAGGGGGGAGACATGGCTCAGCAGTTAAGAGCACATATTGCTCTTCCAGAAGACCTGAGTTTAATCCCAGCACTCATGTCAGGTGGCTCAAACCACCTGTAATTCCAGCTCCAAGGGGGCCCATGCCTCTGGTCTCTTCAGTCATGTATAGGACAACATAGTTTAAAAATAATAAAAAATAAATCTTTAAAAAATAAGTTTTATCTTGCATGTAAAAAAAAAAGGTCAATGAAAATTAACTTTTTAAAATAGAAATTTACTTATCACTTGCAATACCTGGAGACATTTTGGGCTGTCACAAAGGAAGGGCCAGTTCACACAGGTAGCAAAGAAGGGATCAATTTTCAACAAAATAGTGTTCCCCCAAGATGTGACTCAGAAATAGGGGGAATAAGTAAATCTGGCAAAGACTGTGCCTGGGTTTGTTTCTTATGCTAGCCAAAGGGGGAAAGTGAAGGATTTTGCTATCTGCATTTAGTAAGGGGCAGAATGACACTGATTCTTTCCACTATGGACTGAGGTCAGGGAACAGTGATCAAAGCAGGAAGAAGCCACACCTCACACGAGGACAGGTGGTTTGTCCGCCAAAGGGACTTCTTGGAGGAGACAGAAACAAAGGGACCTGAGGGGGGACTTCCCTTGATGACAGTTCACATTGTTTCCTCACTGTTCCGTTTCCTGCAGTTTTCATGGTGGCAACAACTGTTGGTTCCCAGTTCCCAGTACGAGGGTGGAGAAGGCTGGCAATGAAGTGAAGCTGCAGAAGCCATGAGTTCTTGCCAAGACTGGAGACCTTGGAATGAATCTCGGAGTCTACTGAAAGTCCTTGGGAAAGAGCCCTGGGGACTAGAAGAGTCTGGGGCCAAGAAAAAGGAGGGTGAGGCTCAGTCCATCAGGAGTGCAGGCCCAACAATATAAGGGTACCTCCTGCCCTCAATGGACACCAGCAGTTTCCCAGCCCTGGAAAGCATCAGGGGCTGCTCACCATCAGACAAGAAGATGGAGATTATAGAATGGACGGGTAAAGGAAGTACTGTCTTCTCAGGCACTAGCCATCTTCCCTTCTGGAGACAACAGACATGAGGAAGAGCTTGGGACCTGACTGGGGTGTCTATCCAGCCAGAAGAAAAGGAGGCTATGCAGTGACCATGACAGGCCCAGGTAGCTCAGGAGAGGGGAATCTCTCCTCACTAACCAAGCTCCATGAATAAATAACATGAATTAAATAAAGGAGACACAGAAAACAGGCAGAGGCGCCATCTGCCCTTTTCTCACCCCTTCACACACACTAGACACTCTCACATACACAAACATGCATGCACACACATGCATGCATACATACTACACACACACACACACACACACACACACACACACCCCAAGCATCAGATGCGATGAACCAGGGTTGGCTGCCCCGTGCTAGGAGTCTGTATGATGGGCAGCCTGACTGAAGGCTGTCAATCATGGTCTACCATTGGTGCAGAGTTCAGAGGGGCAGAGGCCACAGAGGCATGAGTGGTAGAGGTTGGAGGCCGCTGAGGACTCTGGCACCTATAGAGAGGCAATGAGACAGACCAAAGCAGAGATTAGGGAGACCAGAAGACAGAAATTCAAGGTTTTCCCTTTGCTTTTCCTTCTTTTTCATCTTTCTTTCTTTTTCTTCCTTCCTTTCTTTCTGCCTTCCTTCTTTCCTTCCTTCCCTCCTTCCTTCCTTCTTTCTTTCTTTTTCTTTTGGTTTTTCAAAACAGGGTTTCTCTGTGCAGCCATGGCTGGCTGGAATAGGCTCTGTAAGCCAGATTGGTCTTGAACTCACAGAAACCCACTGTGCCTGTCTCTGCCTCTGCCTCTGCCTCTGCCTCTGCCTCGAGTGCTGGGAATAAAGGCATATGCCATTGGTGCTAGGTTGTTCCATCACACTATGGCAACAGCTTATCATGCAGACAGGTCACCACTGTAGATCCAAGAGCAAGGTTCCTCCTTTCCCTCCCCGCACTCTCTGCAGTTGCCACTCAAACCCTCTTCAGCCTTGACCCACCCATCTGCCTTCCTAAGTCCAGGGGCTCCAGTTGACCATGGTGCTACTAACCAGGACCTTGACTTTCGCACTTTAGACGTGGAAGGTCTCTCCAGAAAGCTGTCCAACCTCATGAGCCTCTCCATGTGTAGTACCCGTGGATCTTGTTCTTGGTCATGAGAAAATTCCATCTCAAAGATAGCCGGTGGGGAAACATCCAATTCCAAAAACATTATATTTTCAGCCTGTGGTAAAATGATACAGCAGACGTGAGCAGTAGTGTATCTTCCAAGCTCTGGATCTTGCGTATCACAAGGATGATGGGATACTTAGAGAAAACACATTCTGTAAGCATCCCTTCTCTTTGGGTTTCTCTCCCAGCTTCTTACCCTGTATCTGGGATGGGACCCCATTGCCATGGCAACCCGAGCATACTGGCTGATAGGTCTTTTGTAGCCCACTGCAGAAGTTGGCCGCTTCTTCATTTGATTGTTATTCCTATAGGGAAAATGGAATATTAGAATGAATTTACTGCTGGTTTAGTGGGCTTTTAGAGTTTTTTTGGGACAGGGTCATATGAAACCCAGGTTGGCCTTGAATTCATGGCTGAGGGTGACCTTGAGCTACAGATCCTCCTGCATCCAGTACCCAATGCTAGGATTATAGTCATACACCATCACACTGGATTAGAAGGGATTTGCTCAAAGATAAAGAACAAATGGCATTGTGAGGCTGGGAAGCTCATGAACGGCTTTCTGGAAAGACCTTCCATATCTGAAGTTCAAAAGTCAAGGTCCTGGTTAGTGTCACCGTGGTCAGTTTGTTTCTCTCACAGTAAAAAGAGCTGATTGTATGCTAGAATGAGGACCCAAGGCCAAACCCCAGAGCCAGTGTGCAGTGGTTTGAATGAGAATACCATAGATTCAAATGTTTGGTCTGGACTGGAACTATTTGAAAGTGATTTCATTAGAAAGACCCTAGTTTTAGCTGGGCAGTGCTGGCATGTGCCTTTATGCCAGTACTTGGGAGACGGGGCAGGAGGATCTCTGTGAGTTCAAGGCCAGCCTGGCCTGCAGAGTGAGTTCCAGGACTATATAGAGAAGCCCTGTCTGGAAAAAGAAAAGAAAAAATACTATTTTTTGTAAGCGGGTCACTTGGCTCACCCCTGGATTGTTCGAGGCTGAATCTCACCTAGTGCAGGGTGACCTGAAACTCACTATGTAGCAGATGATGAACTTGAACTTTGGATTCTCTTGCTTCCACCTCCTGAATGCTGAGGCTATAGGTAATGCAGTGTTCCATGCATAAAAGGCAGTAGTCTGCTAACTGAGATATGCCCTTTTCTTCTTCCTTCTTCCTTCTTCTTTCTTCCTCTTCCTCCTCCTCCTTTGAGACAGTCCTATATCACTATGGCGCCTTCAGCTCTTCATCTTCCTGACTCTACCTCCCAAGTTCTAGAACAGGCATGAGTGACCACACGCATCCTATTTTGTTTTTGTGATACAGTGTCTTGTTATGTAGCTCAAACTGGTTGCAAACTCTTCATCATCCTGTAATCTTGCTCATCCTGCCTCAGTTTCCAGGCATGAGCTACTATGTCCATAACAACAGAGCTCTGCTCTTGGCAACTTCATGAATATAGCATAGTATTGTAATCACTCAAATAAATGAGAGCAAACAGAAAAAACAAGAACGTGCCATCTGATTTAAAGAACAAAGGGCACAGGTTTGGGACTGACACAAGAACTGGGTTTGAACATTGTCCTGTCCCCTTACATCTGGGTCACTCTGGTAAGAAGCTTACTGTCCCTGGCCTTCAACATGTTGCCTCCGCTCCCCACCCAGAACTTCTGGGATTCAACCAGACAAGCACTTAGCACAGTACACTGCAAGGGCTAACACAGGGTTGTGAATTAACTCCATCTGCTAATTTAAGTAATAACCCAAACAAAATGAGCAATGAAAAATTCAATAGGTGACATTGGAAGGGAGAAGACAGGAAGGAGCCACAGTAACTCCCAGACAGACATTCTGTCCCGGCATAAAACCAGCTGTACAGAAACCCCAAGGCTAAATTTGCATTTTGCAGACAAGGAATGAGAAGCTACATTCTTAGTGCAGTGTATGTGTGTGCGCACATGTGAGTGCATGTGTATGGGTGCAAGTGCATATCTGTACACTGCATGTGTGGAGACCAGAGGTGGATGCCAAGTGTCTTTCTTAGTTACTCTGTGTGCTGGCTAACTTTGTCAACTTGACACAAGCCATAGTCACTAGAGAAGAGGAAATGTCAGCTCAGAAAACACCTCCATAAGATGGGGCTAAAGGCCATTTTCTTAATTAGTGATTGATTGGGGGGGGGATGCGGTCAGCTCATTTGTGGGTGGGGCCACCCCTGGGTAGGTGGTGCTGGGTTCTATAAGAAAACAGGCTGAGCATGCCATGGGGAACCAGCCAGTAAGCAGCACCCCATGGCTCCTGCATCAGCTCCTGCTTCCAGGTTTCTCCTGTTTGAGTTCCTGCCCTAACACACTGTCACCTTGGAAGTGCAAGCTGAAATAAATCCTTTCCTAAGATGCCTTTGGTCATAGTATTTAATCACAGCAATAGAGATCCTCCATCTTATTTTTTGAGGCAGCTTCTAAACCTAGACCTGGCCAAATAGGCTAGACTTGCTGCCCAGCAAGTCCTCAGGAGCCTATTTCTGTCTCTCAAGTGCTGGGATTACAAGCATACATTACCATGCCTGGCTTTTTAAATGGGTGTTAGGGATCTGAACTCAGGTCCTCGTGGTTGCTCCAGAGACAGCCATCTCTCCAACCCTGAGGAGTTAGTCTTGACATCCAGTTTACCAGACACATTAAAAAGCACCGAACCCCACTTAGTGGTCCCAGTTGGGCCTCTCTACAAATGAAAACAAGGAACAAGAAAGCTGTAAAAGCCCCATTTCATTTTGTTCCCAGAGGCTATAGGAGGCTGAGAAGCAGAATTAATAACAGCCTGGCACAGCAGGCTGGTGGGAAAGCATCATCAGTCCACAGAGAAGACGTTTATCAGTGACGAGGTGCACTCCACATCTCATACTAGAATTTCCTAACATGCGCCTGTGGGATGGATGAAACAAGGAGACAGGCTTAAAGAGGCCAGGTACCATTTGCATATACGGTCATACAATTAGCAACCCTTTTTATCACTGTATACTGACTCTAAGGGGTGCATGTGGGGGACATGCTGGGGCCAAAGAGACCCTTTGAAAACTCAGGCTCTGGAAAGAGGACAAAGGAGCAAGGCTAAGTGGGCAGAGCAGCCAATCAGTGGGAACTGGCAGTCTGACCCAGTAACGCTCCCGGGAATTATTCTGGGCAGCATGCTTGGGGGAAGGGGCTAGGGGAAAGGAGTCTATAACTGGGACACCAGTCTCCTGTCCACTCCCTCTTCTCTAGGTTCTTTCCCAACCCTTCCAGGGTTGATCCCTATGGCATAAACAGGTTATGGCCAATAGTTCAGAGCTGGGACCCAGCTCTGCAGTTACCCACACCTCCAAGAGACATAGAATGACAGTTAATATGTTCAGCTGATCCCAAGCTCCTGATTGGGATCTCTTATAATTGAATAACATCATAACTTTTCAATATTAAAGATATTTAATCTTAAAATATTTAATATTAAAAACCTGGAACTGGAGATGTTACTTGGTTGGTAGAATTCATACCTAGCATGGAAAAAATCTAGGCTCCATTTTCACATTTACCAGACATAGTGGTATACTCCTGGAATACAAACACTCAGGAGAGGTCCTGGAGAGATGGCTCAGTGGTTAACCACACTGGCTGCTTTTCCGGAGGACCTGGGTTCAATTCCAAGCACTCACATAGCAACTTACAACTGTCTGTAGCTCCAGTTCCACCTTCACACAGACATACATTCAGGCAAAACACAAATATACATAAAATGAAAATAAATAAACAAGAAAGAACCAACAAGGGCAGTCCTTAACAAACAGCAGCAGGAAGGTAAGAAGCTTAAGGTCATCTTTGGCTACATAATGAGATCATGGCCCACCAGCCAGTCTGGGCTACATAAAACCCTGACTAAAAAATTAGCCAGGCAGTGGTGGCACGCACACACCTTTGATCCCAGCACTGGGAGGCAGAGGCAGGCTGTGAGCTCAAGGTCAATCTGGTCTACAGAGCAACCCTGTCTCAAAATATCAAACCAAACCAAAAATTAATAGTGGAGGGCCAGAGAGATATCTCCAGTTGAGAGCACTCACTGCCCTTCCAGAGGACCCAGGTTTGATTCCCAGGATTCACATGGTGTGTGACCCATACACTTTTTTTTGAGATAAGGTCTTAATGTAGCCCAGGCTGTCCTGGAATTTACAGTGTAGCCTCCTCTCTCAGCCTCCTCTCTCAGCCTCCTGAGTACTACTATTACAACTGTGAGCTACTATGCCTGACTTGAGGAATGTTCTTACCAAGATTTACAAAGATAAATGTTGCCTGGACATCAAACCCAATTTAACTTTCTCCCCTCCTGTGGGAAGGAAGGAATGCTCTTGAAAAACTGGAGTCTGGAGCCAGGCGTGGTAGGTAGCTCATGCCTGTGTCCCGGTGCTTGGAGAGTAGAAGCAGGAGGATGATAAGGCCAAAGTTAATCTTGGCTACAGAGTAAGTCTAAGGCCACCCTGGTCTACAGGAGACCCCTGCCTCAAAAAAAAAAAAAAAAAAAAAAAAAAAAAAAAAGCAAAGTGGAGGAGGTGGGAGTTACTGGGTGTGCGTCCTGAGTTCGATCCCAAGTGCTGCACAAACCAGGTGTGTGTGGTGGCCCAAGCTGATAATCTCAGCATTTGGAAGGTAGATGAAGGAGGATCAGAAGTTGAAGGGCATCTTGTTACACTGAGAATTTGTGGCCAGCCTGAGGCCTGGGAGATTCTCAAAAATAAACAACCTGTCACCCCAAAATCCAGGCCAAATAAAAGCTGGCATTTAAAATGTAAAAAGTCAACATCTAAACAAACACAGTAAAGAGTAGCACATCCTGGGGTCAAAAGCAGCTCTTACTTTGGAGCCTTCATCAATATGATGGCAAATATTGTTGGCCAGCTCCTTTTGTGACTGGGTCAGGCCTGGAAACTTCCGCACCCGGTCTCCTGGCAACCTTCACAATAGTGTGGCAGACACTATTATTTCCACTTTATTGACTGAAAGTCAGGTTCAGCTGGGCAGGGGTGGAGGTGTATGCTGCCGTTAGTCAGCACTCAGGAGGCAGAGGCAGGGGGATCTCTGTGAGTTTGAGGCCAGCCTGGTCTACAGAGAGAGTTCCAGGATAGACTCCAAAGTTACAGAGAAACCCTGTCTTGAAAAACCAAAATAGAAAAACAAAAGAAATGAATAAACAAACACATAAACAAATAACAGAAGTGTCTCAAAGCTGAACACTGTTGTATGTGCCTGTAGTACCAGCCACTTGAGGACTAAGGAAGATCATTTGATGCT